TTTAGGGTTCGGACAGTTACTTCGACCTGGGGTGGGTCGGTGGATCAGTAGGGGGTTACCCTCTTTTTGATTTTGCGAATAGAGGAGGTCACCCTGTTTTTGATATCATGAATAGGGGGTCACCATGTTTTCCAGAATTCACACACGCGCTTATGCATGTATTTTTAAACATTTATTTCAGAACAAAAGATAATAAAGTTAATCGTACAAATGTGTTCTCAATAATAACTATTACCTATATTGCCTATAAAGTTGTTGATGAAAAACAAGTTATAGGCTAAATATTTTGGGGTTGAAGTTGCAAAATAACTAACAGATTATGCAATGCGGCTTGAACCCCAATTATACTTTTAAGTTTTATACACATCCCAAGTCCATGTGCTGCTGATATCAGATTATTTTATTTAAAGTCTGAAGTCACCACTGTATAAGATATTTACTGGATTTATCCAATTATAACAGGAGACGGAAAGACAACACAGCAATTAGTACAAAGAGTTGTGACAGTTTTTGTTCAGCAAATCAAAAAAGTTAAATTTGATATATAAATTAAAATAAATGATGAAAAAATATTTTTTTTATAAACTTTTAAGTATGCAGATTTTGCTCTGTAAAATACCAAAATCCAACACAAATTTAAGCAACAATCAAAGTTTCCTTTGTTGTCATAAGCACAGACTATGTAAAGCATTCCTGGTCTATAAGCAGACCCCTCATACCTTTTTAGTTATCTGTTATGAGGGCTTTTTAATTCCTGGCGATTATCCAAGAAACGTTCCGAGCGCCTGTGGTTTGCTGGTGTGTCTAAGGTTTCATGTACGTCATTAATGCTAACACGCTTTATTACATGATAAATTATAGTTTTTTTCCAAATTATTATATTGTTTATTGATTCCTTATTACGTCATAGTTCTCCAATGAAATATTAAAAGGTAAACAACTTTTAATAATGTATAGTAGATGAGGAAAACATGTCAAAGCGTTTTCCCCCTGTTATACATGGACGTATATTATTAGAACTAATTTTGAATTATTCATTTGAGAACAATTTTAAATGTGAGAATTAGTTTCATACTCATGAATCTCCTTCCCCTTATATTTACTAATTTCTAAATTTAAGTTAAAGTCATTATTTTGCTATATATGTAATTTACAAACCTGATTAGTTTTAGGTTAAAATCTGTTGATATTAATTCCCTGATAAGCATAATATTTTATTTGGATTTTAATCTCATTTAAATGAAACTTGCTACATGGGTGGTCTGTTACATTGCACAGACCTTATTAGTTTTACACTGAAATCTGTTCATATTAATTATCTGTTTTGCATTATTAGTTTTAAGCTTTTCCATCAATATCTCAAGTACAAGTAATTTTAAATTAATTTTGAATGTGTCTTCATTACTCAGCACACAAGAGTTTTTCTAAGCTTTATTTGATATTATATTTGTTTGACAAACTATTTCTCGTCATCTTTACTTAATTTAGTTGTTTATTTTGTATCAGTATGCCAGATCATTTGGGAACACAATTAAAGAAAGAAAGATCATGTAATTGATCAGTCTATTACTTCACCAGTCCGTCATCGTTTTATCCACCAGCCACAAACCAAGTTTCATTTTGAGACAGTTCAAAGCTCCAACCATTGCCAGTTGTACCATGAGAAAAGGGGATCAAGAGAAAATGAGAAATTGGGCTGTTGACAATGGGAAAGTTGTTAGACAAAGATCAATCCGGCAAGAAGACACAAAGTATAAGGCCACTGAATCTATACGAGAAGGAGATACCAATTGGTGAAACATTGGATAGAGAGAGACATGATTTGTCAGATGGGTCAGCTGTTGAGAAGGACACATCTGAGAAAACTGATGAGCAGAGATTAGAATATAGTAGTGATGAAAACTAGTGATTCAGAAACTGAGGAAGATAACACGAAAGAAGTGAATTGTATGAATTGCTGAACAAAGAGAAGCAGTGTGTGCAAGATAGGGAAACTGTTGCACAAAGGAACGACTACAGTAATGACGAGAGCAGCTAGAAACAAGGAGATAGTTAGTTTCAAACAGAAAGATCAGTTAAGAAATGCATGTCTAACTACTATGTCTGACCAGCAATCAAAGTTAATGTCAAATATCTTCAACAAATGCTTTTATATTCGACAAC